CACAAATGTAAGAGGGCAAGCAGAAACTCGTGATACCTCTAAAGGCCTAGGCTCAGAATTGTCATAATTTCACGTCCAATCGTATTCCATTTACAGAGTCAAGTCATAGATATAGCTCCAAAGTATTAAGTGTGGTTTTTTCTGGCCAACCTATCAGAAATTTCAATCCCTTCCCAATGTTTCATATCCCCCTTCCCTGCTTTAATTCTCAATTTGTCATCATCTTAAACTCACATGTGTATTTAACTATCTTGTTTATTGCTGTATCTTCTCTTTGCAATTCATGTATGAAAGCTGTGTTTCCTATATTTTTATTCACTGTATCCTCAGCACCTAGAACAGTACCTAGAACATAGTTGGTGCTCAGTAAATATTTATTGAATGAATATATGAAGGCATGAAGTGAAATAGGATTAGGGAGACCTATCACTCATTAAGTTTTTTCCTCTAATGCTTTTTTGTTGTTGTTGTTGAGGCATACTTTTATAAAAGAAAATGCACAAATCTTAAGAGTACAGTTTGATAAATTTCAACAAAAGACTACTCATGAAACCGTAACTTTAATTAAGATATAGAACTCTCCTATCACCCTAAAAAAGTCTCCTCATGTCCCTTTCCTATCAGTTTTCTCACCTACAGAAGCAAATATTTTTTTTTATCACCATAGATTAATTTTTCCTAGGTTTGAATATCATCCATGTAGAATCATATGGCATATCTTTTTTTGTATTTCCTACTTGTGTTCAACATAAAGTTTTTGAGATTTATCCATGTTGATGCTTGTATCAGAAATTCATTCCTTTTTACTATTGTGCATATTCCATGGCACAAATATATCATAATTCATTTATCTACTAATTTATTGATAGATACTTGGGTTGTTAGTTACTAGTGATAATTTTGGATTAAGCTGATATTAACATTCTTGTACAGATCTTTTTGTGGATATTTCATTTTATGAAGATTGTTATTTCTCTTGAATAAACACTTAGGAGTGGAATTGCTGGGTCATAAAATAATATATTAATTAACTACTTAAGAAAATGCCCAACAGTTATTCAAAGTGTTTTACCGTTTTAGAATTTCACCAGCAATGTATGAAACTTGCTAGTTAAGGTTTTTATATATATATATTTTTTTTGAAAGTTAGTTTATAATTGTTCTTACCAAGAGGCAATGTGGTTCGGAGAAAGAGTAAGGACACCGGAATTAATCCAAGGTTGGAGAAATGATTTGAATATTAAAGCAATCTTGCTTTCTGAGAACCAGGCTCTGAACTAGGAGGAACATATACCGTAGTTCCCTCCTTATTCGTGGTTTTGCTTTCCACAGTTTCACTTTCTGTGGTTTCAGTTACTTATAGTCAACCATCGTCTGAAAATATTAAATGGGAAATTTCACAAATAAACAATTCATAAGTTTTAAATTGCACATCGTTCTGAGTAGCGTGATGAAATCTTGCACTGTCCCACTCTGTCCCACCCAGGATATACATTATTTTTTTGTCCAGTGTATTCACACTATATACACTACCTGCCCATTAGGCACTTAGTAGCCTTCTTGGTTATTGGATTGACTGTCACAGTATCGCAGTGCTTGTGTTCAAGTAACCTTTATTTTACTTAATAATGGGCCCCAAACCATTTATATCACTTTTATTAACAGTATATTATTATAATCCTATATTATTATTAATTATAGTTATTAATTACTGTGCATAATTTATAAATTATACTTTATTATAGGTACATATATGTTGACCAATAAAGATCTGAGGCTGTAAAACAAATTAAAAGTTTATTTGGGGGTCTTAAAAGAATTCGAGTCTAGTGACTTAGATTCAAGGGAAGACCTGATTTTAATGGAGCCGAAAAATTCCTATTGCCTAATCTGGCTAGAATTTCTAATATAATGGATTAGAACTGGCAAAAAAGTGGGCTTTCTCGTTGCTGATCTTAGGGCAGAGACTTTTAGTCTTTCATCATTGAGTATTTTCATTTTGAGTTTTTCATGTCTTTTATCATGCTGAAGAAGTTTCCTTTTATTCATAAGTTAAGCATGTTTTATCATAAAAGGCTGTTGGATTTTTCAAATACCTTTTCTGTATCATCTGAACTGACGTTTTTTTCCCCTTCAGTCTAAGAATGTAGTGAAATGATTTCACTGTGTTGGACCACCTTGGCAATCCTGGAATAAATCCCACTTCATCATGGGGTATATACTTTTAATATGTAGCTGATTCCAGTTTATTAGTATTTCGAGGATATATGCAACTATATCCATATTCGATATTGGTCTGTAGTTTTCTTTTGTTCTCTTTATCTGATTTTGTTAGTAGGGTGATGCTGGCCTCAAAATGACTTAGGAAGTGTTTCCTCTTCAGTTTTTTGAAAGAGTTATGGAGGATCGGTATTAATTCTTCTTTAAATGATCGGTAGAATTCAACAGTGAAACCATTTGGCCCTTGGCTTTTCTTTTTGGGAGGCTTTTGATTACTGATGCAATCAATCTCTTGTTATAAATTAATTTGGATTTTATGTTTCTTCTTAAGTCAGTTTTGGTAGTTTGTGTGTATAAGGGGCACTAATCCCATTATGAGGGCCCCTCTTCATGACCTTGTCTAAACCTAATTACCTACCAATAGCTCTGTCTTCAACTACCATCACACTGGGGCTTAGGGCTTCAGCATATAAATTTTGGAGAGGGAACACAAGCATTTAGTATATGAGTTTCTGAAATTTCTTTTTCTTTAGCTGTGGCTTGCTAGTGTTATGAGAAAGATTTTCTTCAATACCTAGAATAAAAAATAAGACGGAAAAGAAAGGAGAGAAAAATGAAGAGAATAAAGAAAATCCTTTTCCAGTTTTTGCAGACTTGCTTTGTCTTGAGGTGCTCTAATGCTTAGCCAGGCTGTTTACAACACTGTCTTAGCCTTCAATTCTGGCTCGTGTTGAGTCTAAAAAGGAGCCACTGGTTTTATCTTTCCCAGAGTTTTGACAAATTTGATTCTGACAGTTTTGGCTCAGTTTTTTTGGTGTTTCTGTGGAGGCATGGGCTCTTGAAATTACCTCCTCCACCTTTTTTTGGAGGGGAAAAAAGGTGATGTCATTGAGGAAGTGTGTTTTTGCTTACTCTTTCTGATATTTGCTGCTGTTGGGCTCATTCTGTACTCCCTGTAGTTTATCTACCCTGTGCAACTTCTACCCTGTCTTAACTGTTCTTAGCAGCTTTTATTAGTACATTGGGACCTTTGGATTATTCCTGTCTTTTCATTTAGCTTAAATTGAAGATTACATTTTTTAATGTTGTCTTGTTTACCATTGTTCCTTTTTTTTTTTTTAATATTGGTATTCAGGATTCAAACTGTTTCCTTACCCTCAGATTTCCCCCTTGGTGCTTGTAGTCAGCCTGTTTTCCCACTTCAACCCCCTGGTAATCATTAATATGTTCTCTGTTCTTATAACTTTGCCTTTTCTAAAATGTCATATAAATGGAATCATACAGTATGTAGCCTCTTTAGTCTGGCTTTCACTTAACATGATGCATTTGAGATTTATCCACACTGTTTTATGTGACTGTACACAAAATCTATCATATGACCGTATAGTTCAAGGACATTTGGAGTGTCTTATGTTTTCAGCGATTATGAATACAGCTGTTATAAACATTTATGTATGATTTTCATATGAACGTTAAGTTTTCATTTCCTTTGGATAAGTACCTGGGAGCGAGACTGCTGTATCATAACTTTCTTAGAAACTGCTAACATGTTTTCCAAAGTGGCTACATTATTTTGCAGCCTCACCAGCATTGTATGAAAGTTGCTAATTTTTTCTTCATCCTTACCATCACTTGATATTGTCAGTACTTTGGATTTTAGCCATTCTCGTGGATGGAAGCGTTATCTCTCTGTGCTTGTTTTGCATTTCTCTAATGACTAATGATGTTGAGCATTTTTCATGTTCTTATTCTCATCTGTATATCTACTTTGGTAAAGTCTTTTGCTATTTATAATTTGTTTAAATTGAGTTCTGAGAATTCTTATATTCTGGTTAGTCCTCTGTTAGATGAATTTTGCAGGTGTTTTCCCCTAGTCTGTGTCTTGCCTTTTCATTCTCTTAACAGTGTCTTCCAAAGAACAGTTCTTAATTTTAATATCCATTTTATCAATGTTTTGGATTGTACTTTTGCTGTTGTAGGTAGAGGTTATGAAGATTTTCTCTTATCTTTTCTTCTAGAATAGCACCAGAAATAGAATGAAAGTCATATATGTAAATAAAATTTTTTAGTATCCACATTAAAAAAGTAAAAAGAAACAGATGAAATTAAGTTAGTTTTATTTAAGCCAATATATTCAAAATTTCATTTTAACATGTATTAAATAGAAAAATTATCAATGAAATACTTTACATTTTTATTTTTGTACTAAGTTCTAGCCTGGTATGTATTTAACATAGTACATCTTAACTCAGTTGAGACATATTTCAAGGGTTCATGAGCCACATATGTCTAGTGGCTACCGTATTAGACAGCAGAGATCTAGAAGTTTTATAATTTTAGATTTTACTTTAGTTTTGTTATTTATTTTGAGTTCATTTTCATGTAAGGAGCAAGGTATGGATTATTATTTTGTATAAGGTACAAGGTAGGTATATTCATTTTTTTACATATGGTTGTCCATCAGAAACTTTTTAATAAAAGTTGTTCTGGGCAGTTCAAGATCTAGAGATCATTTTGGGGTCCAAAGCTCAACATTTAAACATACTTTCTATTCTTTATTTTATTGCCTTTCATTTCAGTGTAATGTAAATTTACTTTGTAATTAGCTGTTTTCAAACTATATGTATAAAATGCTCAGAAGTGCCAGGATTTAGTGTTTTGACTTTACTCATATATCTACTCAAATCTAAATTAAACATTATGCTATTTACCTTTTTAAGATTCATTAACCTCCCCATTTCCAAAATTATATCTAAAATTCTTATTTACTTTGTTTCCAGGCATGTACTGGCATTGAAAACATTGATGAAGCTATTACATTGCTTGAACAGAATAATTGGGACTTAGTGGTAAGTACTTTTTTAAAAAAATTCCAGCTTTATTGAGCTGTAATTGACATATAACATAATGTAACTTTAAGGTGTGCAACATGGTGGTTTGATATACATATATATTGTGAAATGATTATAATGAGATTAGTTAATACATTCATCACCTCATATAGTTACTTTTCTATGTGTGTGAGAACATTTAAGATTTATTTTCTTAGCAGCTTTCAAGTATACAATACAGTATCATTACGTATCACTACCACGTTGTACATTATATCCCCAGAATTTATAACTGGAGGTATGTATCCTTTGACCACCTTCATCCATTTTCCCCCTGCTTCTGGCAACCACCAGTCAACTCTGTTTTTATGAGTTTTGTTTTCTTTTTAGATTCTTTATGTAAGTGAGATCATACAATATTTGTCTTTGTCTGATATATTTCAAGTACTTTTTCTGACTAGTAATCAAATTATATGAATTCTTGAATATCTTAACATTTGTTATGGATGGTTCAGCATACCATCCATACCCATCTAATCTGAATGAATAAAATCTAAATGTTATATTTTTAATATGAAGTTCATAGTTAAGAATTAAATTATAAATCTTATATAATTTGAATAGTTTTAAAAATTCTCTTCTCTTATTGTGTATTAAGGTTCATCTTCCCTGTAGTATCGTGGAGATGCTTGGAAGGAGAGAAAAGTCAGACTTGTCTGAATATAACTTTATTTGATGTTTCCCCCTCACTTCCTGGGGCCCTCACTGATGATTACATCTTTCTAAAGCTGTTAAAGAAGTGGCATTCTGTTGTGGTTTTCCTTATGAACTTCAGGCAGTTTATTATAAAAGTGGTTTAACTTTTTTTGGTTGGGGGAGATGGCAGGAACTCGAAAGGCGAGACCCAGCACAGTGCTACACATTCACAAAATTGTAATTTCTTTACAATTGCAAAACAAACTAAAAATGTACAACAGTGTCAGAGCAGTATTGGTTGTATTGGGTTGGTACAGATATCCCTCATTGCCTTTGAAGTCCTAAAAAAGTCTAAATTGTAATTTAGAAGTGCTGATTTTCGAAAGTCAAAACTTGCAGTGTGTACTTAGCTGAGATTAGATAAGGAGGTGTAGTCAAGTCCATACATGGACTTACATAATCAACTATCAATTATCTCTGTACTTTGTGTAGATTTACTACTGTTAATTTTGTTACTCAAAATAGAAACAGCATTTATGTTCTGTTTGTAGAAGTACCAATGCTCATTGTAATGAAATGAGAAGATATAGAAATTTATAAAGAAGAAATAATATTCACCTTTAATCCCATCATTTAGAGATAGTAATTGTTTAACATTTTTGGTATATTATTCCAGGGTGTTTTCTCTTAATTATATGATTAAATTTTTTAAATGCAAATGAGATTGTTCTATTTCTATTCTTCTGTAATCTGCAGTTTTTCATAACAACCTTTCATGAATGTTTTTCTGTCCAAGTAAATGTGACCGTTCATCATTCTTTTTAATGTTTGTTAATGTTTACATGTTATTTCATGATGTGGTTGTAGCATAAAAATTTTACCAATCAGAAGACATTTAGGAATTTTGCAATATTTTCTATTATATACATTATGGTGGAAAACATTCTCTTATATATACGCCCTGCATACTTAACCTATTATTTTTTAGAAGATATTGAATAAATTCAATTCATAATTGAATATCTGGGCCAAGTATACATACTTCTAGGTTTTTAGATATTTATAGTTATATGCCTCCCAGGATGGTTGCTCTAATTTAAATTTCTACCAACTAGATACATTTTGAGGTTGCCTATTTTATTAAACCAGTCCTTCTTCAATTTTTTTCTGGCACTTGTCAAAATTTACAAATATTTGTATGGCATGACTCCAGATCCATGATTTTACCACTGTACTATACTCTTAAAAAAGCACTGTATAGGTGACATGTCCATGATTTCTATTCAGAGGACTGGGGAAGGGACAGCAATTAATTTGGAGTAATGTTCCCACATTTCTTGTCCTGAGGATTCTTTTGTAGCAAGGGCATTGCTTTATTTAGTTTGTATATTTTTAGGGTGTTTTTTGGAGAGCCTGATGTAAAATACTGGATGAGATTAAAAATGTCACCAAGCCACTCTTGCATGGTGCTGTTGAGAGGGATATGGGATAAAGTAAAGGGAGGCTATGGACTGGGAGTAATGGACTACAAGTCTTTGATGTGAGAATTACCATTTAGGGGGAAATGGATATACGTTCTTTATCTATTTCCTATTGGGACATGTATGTTAGGTTTGAACGTTAAAACATTTGTTGGTTTGTGATATTTTCTCAATCCAATCTATGGGTATTACAAAAAGAATTTTCCCAGATAATGTTAAATAATTGAATGGTACAAGTGTTTTCCAAATATTTCTGAGTTAATTGATTTTGGAAAATACTGTAATAGCACTTGCATTAAAAACACTGGTGTTATCTTTCTGGAGAAATGAGATCTTACAGTGTGTTGGACCCAAGAAAAAGTATCAGGCTATCTTTCACAGCCTTAAAACTGTGGCTTTCTTTTGAAATATATGTACAGTCAGGCTTTTTTCCACAAGTAATCCACTTTCATCTACAGTGAAGATTTGCTGTGCGGTGTAACTATCTTGCTCTATAAATTTTCTCATTTCTCCTGTTCTTTTTTTAATTATTATTTTTTTACTACACTCATATTACATTGTGGTTTTTAAAAAATGAAACAAAGATTTTGAATAACTCATTACTAGTTCAAACTTTTCATTAGGCTCATGGAACTTTTTACAAGGTATTTTCTATATTTTGCTTGTACATTATTACACTTTGTTTCTAAATCATGATTGTCACTGCTCTGTATTTTATAGACCTTATGGAACAGTTCGTGTAATTTGAATTTTAACCTAGGACATATCTGTATTTTAAATTCCCTGTACATATCAGTTAGATCTCTCCTCCAGTGTTTTTGTGCATATTTTGCTACAGAAGTTTAGAGTAATGTGAGATAAGCACCACAATCTAGAATTATGATGAATTTAAGAAAATTCAATAACAAAAAAATCATTGTGTCAGTACTGAGTGCTTATAGTATAATTTATCCTAGATACAGTGGGGACTTAAAAAAAGGTAATGGTATGCGGTGTCTGACTTTGAGAAGTGTACTGAAAAATCGATATGTAGTTTATATATGTATATTATACTCAGAAATGGGAGTAACCTCCTGAAAAAATTATTGCAAGTATTTTAGCTATTTTATAGATACAGACACACAGATAAAAAGTATTCTATATGAAAATACTGCCCAGTCCCAGGAATTTTAGTTATTAGTCACTTTCCCTGATTCTGCACATTATTTTCATTATATAGCTTTCCACAAAGCAGTGCTTCCAAACACTGTGTTTTAAGTACCCCTACAGTTATTTCTACTAATTTTGAGGCAGCTGTAAGTTGGCTTATGTATGCTAAAAATCTGAAAACAAAATAACATGAACTTTAATACTATTAGGAAGCATCTCACTACTGTTTTATTTGACATGAAGCTTGTAGTAACCCTCCATCTACCTCAGACTTTCATTTTTTACATTGTCCTGCACTTACAGTTAAGATTGTCATTACAGTTGATTCCTTCCTTGCAGAAGAGTATTATCAGTTTATATCCAGAAAGGAATACATAAGGAAGAATTACGAATAATGAATTAGAACTTTTACCAGAGGATTGCCTTCTTACATGGAGCGTGACATGTGATTACTATAAATTGTAATCTGGGCTCCAGAATTGACCCACTGCTCATTTTCTGTTTTTAGTGTAGAAGAATTTGGGTCAGTGGAGAATAAAAATTTATATGGTTAGTATTAATTTTGAATAATCAAAATGTGAGGCAGCTAACTATAGTGGTAAACCTTTTGCATTAATCTTGAATCAGGAGCCCTGGCTTTTCAAACCTCTCATCATTATTTTATTGAGTATGGCCTAGGTCAAGTTACTTCCTTCTGAACTTCTCAACTTCTTCATATAAAATAAGGAGTTTGGACCAGATTATACTCAAGATTATACATGAAATATTTATGAAGAATCTGTTTATGTCCTAATTTCGCTTAAGATTTTACAAAAAGTAGTCTATTTTGTATAGGAGTAAAAGCAAACATTTAAATAGAACTTTATAAGTTTGAAACATTTGTACATATACCGTTTTTATATAACCCTTTTAACAACTTTATGATGTAGATAATGGCAGGACAAGGTGCTATGCCAGTTGTTTCACAGAGGTCTGTATACATGAAACTCCTTCAATAAATTAAAATTTCCAATAAACTCTAGATCCAGGAAAAGATATTTGACATATACTTGGTAACCTGATGCTAAGGGAAATAAAGTAAAAGTAAACATTAACCTAGCCGTATTACATTTTAAGTACTCTGTGCTCTTAGGAAATGATTTTTGAACTTTGCACTCAGTTTGCTGCCTCTGCTGACATAGCTGTTTTGTTGAAGAAAGACTCTATTCAGAGGACTTGTATTTATCTTTAACTACATGTTCCAACTTAAGGCAAAAATGAAACAAATCAGCCTATTATTGAATCATTACTGAATTTCTAGTCTTTTAAGATAATATTATATTAATAGAAGCTTATAATATAATCGTAAACACAGAAGTGTCGTACCCAAGGAAAATTATCATGCACATAATCGGTCTCATTTTAAGATGCATTGAGATGTTTTAAGATATTTTCATTCCATCAATTTTCATTTTTGAAGAAATGTATCTTAATGATCATCCTAAAATTTCTTAAAACAGTTTCTTCCACTACCCTACTCAGGATGTGGCTGTGGCTGTGGCTGTGGCTGTAGAGTTCCTCGAATGTGCACTGCGTTTCTACTTTATACAGTGTTATGAACACCTGCAGTTTTATGAATGAACTAGTTTAACCAGTGACATAATGAGTCTCTGTCATCCTCAGAAAGCAGCCAAGCATTGAACACTGCCCTTC